TGTTCTGGGGAAGGGGCCTGTTGTGCTGCTTTTGAAGTGTTAGCACTTGGGGGACCTGCTCAGCCCCCTGCCTGGTGCAGGGCTCAGTGTGTAATGTTTATCCTGTTTATCCTGTGAGGCCACTGTGAGACTTAGTGGGGGTTGTTTACCCTGTGAGGCCTCAGGAGGACCAACCACAGTGGTGGCGGCCAGCTCTGGAGCCCTGGATTCAGCTCCTGCAGTAGCTATGGAGCTCTCAGCCTGCAGAGGCCTGGATGCTCTGGTGGCGGGGCCGCTGATCTGCTCAGCTCGGGGCAGAAGCGTCCTTGCTGTCCTGGGCCCTCCCGGCCTCTGCCTGTCCCGGGGGGAGGCCGGTTCTTGGGCTGTTTCCCCGGCGCCCTGTGCTCCCAGGCCTGCGCTGTTGGATTCGTGCTCCCGGCCACGCAGCCCCCTCGGCGGAGCCGCCACCGGAGCCCCTCCTAGCTGCTCCCGGGTCCAGCCGCGCGTGGGCCGCAGCCCTTTAGGGAGCTTGGCCACGGGGTGTGGCACTCTCTCTGGGGCGCAGGTGTCTGTTAGTGTCCCAGGGAGCCTGAGGGCATCCCCGCCCTCCTCGGTCCTGCTCTAACTCCCTGCGAACACCTTTCCGCCGGGAAGGTTGGTGAAGCTCCTGCTTCTCTGGGAATGGGCTTTCCTGTCCTGGGGGCACTCGCCCCGGCCTTATCCTGGCTCTTCGCGGGTCCCCTCCCCCTTGGATGCCTTTTGTTTCTTTATTTCTTTTTTCCCCGTCTTCCTACCTTGATAGAAGCGTGAGCTCTTCTCATTGTAGCATTCCAGCTGATCTCTCTTTAAATCTCAGGCCTAATTCGTAGATTTTCAGGATGATTTGAAGGTTATCTAGGTAATTTGGTGGGAACAGGTGACTTGGGGACCCTACTCTTCCACCATCTTGCCCCTCCTCTGAAATATGAAATATTTTTTAAGGAAACAAACCAGGAAGGGAGGCTACCAAAATATATAGAATACTTTTCCTATTAAAGTTTAAACTTAGAAAAGTTAGCTAAAGAGGAAACTGTTTTCTTTGTACCTGTGCCAGTATTACAGAATATATAATTTCAGAAAATCCCCTCCAGTTAGAATCTTTAACATTTGAAACTAAAAAACTCCAAATGGAACGACAGTTTCTTATAATTCATGAGCTTTCACCCATTATTAGGTTTTAAATTTTTTGGTGGTTGGGACATCCTGTGTATGTGTGTGCATACTTTTAATGTCTTGCTCATATTAGGAACTCAAAGACAGTGTTTAAGGAAAATTGGGCTTACTTTACTTTTAATCTTTGCTTTTGATAATTTGAGCCTATCTTCATAAAAATCTACGAAGGTAAAAAATAATGGAGTTCCTTTATCAGTTTCTTATTTTCTACATTGCTATCAAATTTCTAAAATATAAATGAATCATCTTTCCTTCCAACTTAAAAAACTACTTTGTGAGATAAGTGGCATATTACTTTTTTGCTATAAATTTCTGATATATATGAATTTTTTACAGTGTGTGTGCATTATTTTGCAACAAAAGAGAAAAAAAAACCACACTCAAATCTAACACAGGAGAAAAACAAAGATCCAAATTGCCCATAGGATAAATTTTAAATGCTTTATTCAGGTAGATAGGTCTTTATCCTGAAACTTTAAATTGTTAAGTTTTATCTCCCCACCAACACCCACCACTCACCCTACACATGTGTACACACATCACTACTCCCCATTGAAATAGAACTATCTTTCCTAATGACACCGTTATTTTCCCGTCCAACTTGCTTTTTTTTTTTTCTGGGCACTCTATTCAATCTAGAAAACCACACCCTCCCTTTTGTTTCCAATGAGATTCCTTCAAGACCCAGCTCAAAACATACTTTTTTGGTCCATAGCAAAATTAGCCCCCTCCTCTGTGTACCAGGAGTGCTGTGTTGCACAACAGCTTCCCCTGTTCAGTGTGATCAGAGCAAGAACCACGAGGCATATATTATACATCTTTGTACCTCTCTTCCTCTTTCTCCATGCTTTGCCTGACACATTGAAGACATTCAGTAAATGCTTCTTAAATGAAAGAATAAATAAATGCACTAACAAATTAATATTTTTTCTAAAGTAATATAAATCATGTCTAGTGAATAAATACTGTTAAAGCAGTTAATAAAGATAATGTTTATTCAGCCTTAGAAGCAGGGTGGTGTATTGGCTAAAATTACAGCTCTGAAATGAGACAGATCAGGGTTTGTTTTTTAGCATCTACCAATTCCTAGCAGTATGACCTTTGACAATTGACTTCACCTCAGCGGGGTTTCACTTCTTTGATTTATACAAAGGGTCTAATAATACCTGAATCACTTAGCCCAATGTCTGGCAAAACCCAGGTGCTCATTAAATGGTAGTTATTACTGTTAATTTTGTCATCTCATATAATGTGTCAGTTTGGTATATTTGTTACCATCACACATTTTATTATTTATGCAACTATGTGAAAGGGGGCTGTGCCATTGTTTAACAAAAGGAAATCTTCCAAGAGATGAAATAAAGTTTGAAGGTTAATGGGGTGGTGAGGGGGTTAGAGGTGAGATCAAGGAAACTGGAGAAACAGAACTACTAACTCCCAAGAAAGAACTACCACCCAAATGGTCCCTGCAATTTTTATTTTGAGTCCCCTCATCCCTTTTCAGGGTTATCTCACTTAGCTCTCTGCCACCACAATGTCATTTGGCCCTTACCACTGCTTTAGGGAGAAAGGACACAGGCTGTGAAGACCAAACACTTCACTACTTACTAATTCTGTCACTTTGGGCAAGTGAACTGACCTCACGGGGACTCTATTTGCTCATTGATAAAATAGGAGCAAACATACCCACTACATTGGGTTGTTCTGAGGCATAAGTTAATGTATATAACATGCCTGATTTTAGAGCTGGAACATATTAGATGCTCAATGAATGATTGGTTCCTCACTTATCTCTTTCTAGGGTTATGATTATATATTTGATTATTTGTCTAAGAGGCAGAATCTCCTTCAAGTGGCTTCAGAAGGAGACTCCAAAAGGAGTGTTGAAAAAAGAGAGGAAAAGCATTAGTTTATTTTGATCATTTATCATATCTTACCTGAAGATCCTACCCTTCCATCCCCCCAGTGGGAATGTGTGATTTAAGTCAAGTCACTACCTCCTCTTAGGTCCATAAGTAAGTTCCTTTTATTTTTTTATTTTATTTTTTTTTGTAAGTTCCTTTTATTGACTTGACTCTGTATGTCATGCAAGCAGCATGGCTAGCAGGACATGGGAATCTCTATATGTGGGAGAGGTATAATTGGCTACTAATAATCTGCATGTATTAAAAGTTGATTCCTGTTACCCCATTCCTATACACAAGCAAGATCAGATTAATAGGCATGAGCCTTAGGACAAATATCCTTGGTGCAGGAAATATGACCTTGTCACTTTGCTGGGAAAGTTGGGTCACTGAAGGGTCTCATTACCTTCTTCAATGCTTTTGTTTGGTAGACTTATGAAGTCCAAAAAGTTTGCTTCTAAATCTGCCCAATATCTGTGTTGCTGCTCCCTTTATTTTTGTAAGAATTTATCATTCTCTCATCCCTGCCCTCAGCACCCCCTAGCCCTGGCCTAAACCCTTCCCAAACTTTCTTCCCAATCTTCCCCAAACCCTCTTTTCAATCTTCACTCTACCTTCCCCCATCCCTTCATACCTTACCCAATTTCCCTCCAGCACAACCATTCCCTCCATCACCCACTGACTTGACAACTCCCGGAATATTCAAGATCTCACACAAACTTTAAGCCTTTTCCAATTCCCTTCCTCCCAATTAACTTCCTTCCAATGTACTTGTCCCTTTCCTCTTCTCTCATCTAAGCCATGAAATAATTCAAACACTTTTAGAAATTGCCAGTGTTTGACTTTTTAAAAATATCACTTGCAAAATTGTCTTCTTTATTGAGAAAATGTTGCACTTGTTGCGATAACGAAAATCTTGATAAAAAGTCAAGTCAGTCTAACAACTACACTTTTTCAATGTTAGTTTCTAATGTGTATACTCATAGATCTTGTTAGTATAAATTGTAATCAAGACAGCTCCACATTAATGCAGGGTTCAAGGTGGGGGCATACAGAGGTGGTGAAAAAAAGCAACTCAAAAGTCATCAGGTTCGTTGCCTGATCAGAGATCATTGCATGATCTGAGAGGCAGGGTCATTGTACAAGTACTTGTCGTTCCTTGCCAGTGCATATACTCATGTGGGGAGCTGAGAGAGGCAGGAGAGACAACCTTAAGCAGACTTGCACTGTGCCTGGAGCCCAACATGGGCTCTATTTCAGGACTCTGAGATCATGACCTAAGCTGAAACCAAGAATTGGAAGTTCAGCTGACTGTGCCACCCAGGTGCCCCATTCGTGGGAGATTCAGAGAGCAGCAAATGTTGATGACAGCTGAGGTAACAGAAAACAGGTTTTTAGGCACAGTCATTATTCAGCAATTATTTCATTATGACATCTCCTATTCTACCTGTGCCTTGAAGCAATTGTAGTGACAATAACGGGATGGAAAGGACACAGTGAGTGTACTCCACTCCAGGTTTAGATCATGTGCTTCAAACCGGTGAATTCCAAGAATCAGAGGGTACTTTGTGGCACATGAATAATCCCACATTGGAACTATGCAACATGGTTTCCAATTTTAACTTCCACAGGAGTTGTTTCCTTGATTTATGGATCCATTAATCAATGGATGACCATCTATCACCTCAAGCTTCAGAAGTAAGATATTATTGCAGATGCACAGATTCTCTTGAAGAACCACAGAATGGTCAATGCTGTTTCTGTAGGAGCCCAAATCCACCATTGCTCGCTAAAAGAACTGTTGTCTTCCCAGTCAGATTTCAACAGTAAGCCATAGGGTATGAGACATAGATATTGGAAGTGAAGGGGGCACATATTTGTAGATTGGCCTGACTGGATTCCCCCTTACCACCAGGTCTTGATGTTTCCTTCCTGCTGTGCATGATGAGGCTTGACAGAACAATCTCTGGCAAAATGACCAGGATAACCACAAGAGAGGCACAAGTGACTTTCACAACAGTCGGCCCGTTCAGCTTCACTGAGATGTGGGCTATTTCTTTCAGCCTGCACAGGCTGGTTTTTAGCTATTGAATTCTCAGGCCCACCTCCCTCCTCAGAAGGACTTGCTTCTTGTGGGTTTGGATCAGTCTTACTACTTAGTTTCTCTTCTAGGCACTGAGTGATCAGATTAGATAGGTTGGTGGCTGATGGGTTATTGTGAGACAGATAGTCTGGGATAGAACTGGAAAGCCCTTCCTGAAACTGGATGCAGAGAGTGCTTTCATCACAGTTTTGCTCTTGAGCAATGAGATGGAAGTGGGTCATATACTGATGGGCAGGATCCTCCTGTTGGCACAGCTGACTGATGCAGTGACTGACATGTTTTCCAGACTGTCAAAGTATCCTGGAGCACTTCTATGAAACTTTCAAATTGCTCCAGCAGGGCACTTTGGATATCTAGTAAGGGCTAAAAACATTCCTGCCTCACCTGAGAAGCAGTTGCCAACAAAGCTCACTACAGCTGCTTCAGTGTGATGCAGGTGCCCTCTGACTCCTATGTAACTATTCAATTGAATCAAGAACTCAGAAAGTTTATGAGCATCTCCACTGAAGTCTAAACAGTATTCCAGGGAAAAAGCTTCCCCTTCTAACCCACTGGGGGACTGGGACTCTGAAGCTGCTGATGTCAAAGAAGCTATTAGGCCTTCCAGGGACTTCTGGGGTGCTGAGGGCTATAGGAACTCCTGGGTATCTAAAGGATCCAGGGTCTAGTGGGGCACTGTAGGTTCCAGGGACTCCTGGAGAGTTGGAAGCTTAAAGGGTTCCAGGTATGTTGGGGTATTCTGGCAATCTGCTGCCTTGTGGGTTTCCTGGGCACTTGCGAGATCCTGGTGCTCTAAATTCTAGGATTTCTGGGCCACCAGGGCATCCTGGATATCTGGGGGCTTTTGGGGCTTAATTTCTGGAGGCTTGTTGGCCTCCTGGGCCACTGGGGGCCTCTGGAGTTCCTTGACTTCTGGGAGATTTGGGGATTTCCAGGCTTCTGAGAGCTTACAGACCAGTGAAGGTTGCTGGGGCTCATGGGTTGTTGGAAGTTTCAGAGACTCTGGGGCTGCTGGAGGTTCCAAGGGCCTCTGGGTTTCCTAGACCATTGGTGTTTTCTGGTGCTCTTGGGCTGCTGGGGGCTTCCAGGCTGGGAGCTCCTGGGGCTCTCTGAGATTTTGGAGATTCTCAAATTCTGGGAATTTTTGGCACTTTCAGGATTTTGGGAAATCTAGGTTTTCTAGGGATTTCTGTGGCTCCTGGGACTCTGAGGGTTACTGAAGTGGTTCAACTTCTTTGGCTGTTTGGGGCATCTGGAGCTCTGTATCTGGGCCTGTGGGGCAACAGTTTCTTCCATCAGCCACTACACTTGGGCTTGCAAAATTTTATTCTCCAATTTCAGAACAATATAGGAAGCTACTAAGTCCTCCACCATCTTTGGCAGTTAGCTACATAGAGAGATTGGGTGGTTTTTCTAAAAGCTCCATTTAGAAAAAGCACCTTTCAAAAAGATGTCAGGCTCTGTGAATTTTTCAAGAGATAGGGATTTGGGTCCCACCAAGGTTGATTACCAGGTCACTGGTTGCTTCTGGAGCTCAGCAAGGGAGGTATGAGATACGCTGTAAGGAGAGTGGGATTTGAGGATCAGAAACTGTGGAAAATCACTCGTTTAAAATAAATTAGAACAAATCCTGCCTAACAATGCTGGGTTTCTATTACCATAGGCTCATTCATGAGATGAGTCATATATGCTGGTTCTGACCCCATTTCATTTTAAAAACAACATCTGATCCAGACTGTGTATGCCATTTTGCTTTTTTCTGTTGAAACTTAACATTAGAAGCAACTTATCCCTATTTTTTCTAGTTTATATAGTCTTTAATAGCTTATGTCTGCTTAATATCCCAATGTAACATTTGGGTTTTAACAGATGCTTTCAATGACTAAATAAAATGTTTGAGCAATATGGAGATTTTAGGCTCTGTGGTGGGTCAACCCAAGAGATATTTTTGGGTGACTGAGGTATAAACTCTTTCTGACACCTCAGAAATCATACCACAAAAGTAACCACACAAGACCAACCTCAGAAGAAAATAAGCAAAAGTTGACTAAATATATATGTGTGCTCAGCAGACACATGTGTATTATTTATAAAATGCCTCAAAATAGTTAAGAAAATAATCTTTATAAATGTACATTACCATTCAGAGACTTAGTCCAGGAGGTCAGCTGTGTACCCATCGTTGAGGAGGAAGATGTGTAAATGGCTGTGGAGGCTTGCCTTTTCAGCACACACTGAACTCAAACAAACACACCCACTCCCAGAACACATTCCAACTTTCCTCTGTAACATAGCTATTTAGAGTGTGGAAGAGGGTTTTTTTTTGGGGGGGGTTGACAGTACCTTATAGTTTAAAACTGCAGGGAAAGTGAGATGATGCACTGATGTGAGGCAGGCTCATATACTCAGTCCTTGATTAATTTAATAAATATTTGGCTAGGAAATTAGAAATAATACCACTGCCCTTGTAAAAAAAGTTGGCAAACATTTCTGAACGACCACAGTGGTTTGGGACTTTATTTTTTATGTCTGTCTCATGTAACCTCCCCTTACTCCATCCACACTAGGGTGTTTGTTTAATTCTCACTGAGAGTGCAGCCTGCAGTCCCTCAGGCCCTTCCCCATCCCACCTACTCAGTCCCTAGGGTCCCTCCGGGTAATGTTTTCTTGGGATCATTATCATGAATACATCTAGACAAGGTATAATATGGTAAGACCGTGGGTGAGGCGAATTTTGTTGAAGGGTACTTGTAGCAGTCTTGCAGGGACCCTGGCTTATTTTGAATGCCTTTGCCCAGGGTTCTCATTCTTCCTTAAGCCACTCAGGTGCAATAAGCAAATTCCAGGTACCCCCCTAAGAGCTGGCCTCTTGAGAAGTGACCTCACTCAAGATCTCACCTTCTCTTCTCATGACAAATTATAATCACAAATTAGGTAGGGCTAAGGGAGAGCTGTTTTTGTCTCTTTACTAGAGTGGGACTGGGAATTGTCTTTTGCAACTTCAGATCACACATCTAGTTAGTGATGTTCTCAAGTCTCCTTTAAAAACATTCAGCTCTACCTTAGTCAGCATAATGGATAAACCCTGGTGATGGAATATGCTCAAACTACAGCAAATTGACTTGACTAACTGAATCAGAATCCAGAGGCTTTGAAAAGAAAAGATCACACACACACACACACACACACACACACACACACACACACACACTGGAATATTAGCCATTAGAAAGGACGAATACCCACCATTTGCTTCAATGTGGATGGAACTCGAAGGTATTATGCTGAATGAAGTAAGTCAATCAGAGAAGGACAAACATTATATTCTTTCACTCATACAGGGAATTTAAAAAATAGTGAAAGGGATTATAGGGGAAAGGAGAGAAAATGAGCGGGAAACACCAGAGAGGGTGACAGAACATGAGAGACTCCTAACTCTGGGAAATGAACAAGGGGCAGTGGAAGGGGAGGTGGACAGGTGGTTGGAGTGACTGGGTGATGGGCACTGAGGGGGCACTTGACGGGATGAGCACTAGGTGTTATACTATATATTGGCATCAAAGTCCAATAAAATATTAAAAAATAAAAATAAAGCTTCACATTGATTATAAAAAAAGGAAAGTAAAATCTTTAGCAAATCAAGTTATATTCTTTCCCTCCCTTTTAATGCTTTAGTCTTTAGAAACATACCATACATAAAAAAATACATCATCTGGGAATGATGTGTTCTATTAATGTGAATTTTTCAGATAACTAAAGCTTTCCCTTTGAGAATCCAAAACACACAATTGAAGTTTACCTTATTAATTAAAAAATTTAAATAATTATAGCATGCATTACACTTCTTTCTCCATTCTTAAGTAAACGATTCTGAACATAATTTATTTTTAATGGTTTGAGGGTCATAAGTACACAAACAAGCTCCTTTACTGTGTTGTAACACTATATTACCTCCTGAAAGCTGCTAAGGTATAAAGTGGTCTGTCTCCAAATTAAAAACCTCTAAATTGCTATGGTTTCCAACTACATATAATTTTTCCTTTGTATTTTTTCTAATCTTTTGCTATCAGGCTGTCTCAAAGCCCTTCACATGGTTACCTATATGCTTGTTTATACTAAGTATAGACAAATTTAAAAATTAATTCTAAAATTTAATCTAAAACTCAGTCTATGAAACTGTAAAATGTAGCTATTGATTATATTTAACTCTACAGAGTTACAAAGGTTTAGTGAAATAATGATGTTTATTATTAAAATGTTTAGCACAGTGTATATTAGCTAGTGACATATAATAAAGGTTAATAATAATAATAATAATAATAAGCTGTAGCAGCAGTAACCTCATTTTAATCCATTACTTTTAATTGTGAATTTGTAAACTGGATAGGTGAACTTACTGGAATTGTGTAGGGACTGAGTAGGAGCTCTCATATGAAGAAATCTACAGTGCAAGGCTTTTATGGCATGGTTTTTCACCACTCAGAAGCTTGCTTTTTTTTTTCCTTCCTGGCTGAGTTATGAATGAATTAATTGATTTACCAAATAATTCTTTAGAATCAGAACTGGAGGCACTTAGGCAGGAAGATGAGTTGATTAACAAGGGGATTGTGGAGTAACCAAGACAGACTTTTAAAAGTCCATAAACTAAAGCAGTGAACAGTGCCTTGCCTACAGGCATTTTTACCCAATGGGAAGCATAGGGACATTTCTCCTTACCCCTACCCTCCTGCTAAAGACCAAAGACCAAATGCAACATCTTTAAGTACAAATTCCAAACTGCCTAAACTTATAGAATTATTTTCTTTTCAGTAGAAAAAAAAAGAGCTACACTGACTTTTATCAGAATGACTAAAGTAATTTTAATATCCTGAATTTGTAAAAGTAAGAATAGGAAAGTAATCACATTGAAATTCTCATGTGTCACCTACACTTTAATCCTTCTTACACTCACATTGTGAGATTTGTGGAGACTTTAAATGCTTATAAACACATTTTAAATAAATGAGGTTTTGTTAACTGGGCAAATTAATTTTTAGGGAAGCATAAGATAAATGTGTTCATTAAACAGATATAAAAAAGCTGCACAGTTATGCTCAGTTATGTTAATAAATTACACATGCTGATTGTTAGCTTAGGGATAAAAGAAAGATTGAATAATTTGAAATTCTACTGTGTACACTGCACTAAGGATCATAATTTGGGGAGGCAAATGTACAATCTAAAACATTTCACATGTGTGTCAGAATCTTCCTTACTAATGCTGGCTGAACTGCATCTTCAAGCAATCAATCTTTTGCCCTCCTTCTTTCTACCCTGGAAATAGTCAATAGGACAGGTTACTTGACAGATCTCTAGCCCAATGCCCAGCTACACTTGGGGACAGACCTACTATGTTGTCTATTTTGTTCAATATGTTATTTCTATGCTTGCATTAGAGCTTGCAGCACTTTCGTAATTTTGATCCATAATGTGCTTAGTACAGATTGAAACTTTTCATTGTCATTAACATTTTATAGCACTAGGACAGCTGGAGTTCCCAGCTCCTTCCCAAATCTTTCCAAGAATTCTTACACATATGACTGGGATCCAGAGAACCTGGTAAAGTAGTATGAACAAGGTCTATCTTAGTAAAACTCTGAAGGAGTTGAAATTTGTCACCCTTTTATCTTCCTTTGTGACATGTACCATCTTCTCATTCTATTTCTTTTCCTATGCATACTTAGGGGGCCTTTTCCCTTTGATGTACTGTCATTTTGGGAAATGAATCCCTCCTGAGATATTACCTCTTAGGTTTCTAAAGACATTTTCTTGGGGCATTTTCATTTTCATAGGATATTCTGAAAGGCTGCAACCCCTTCGAAACCTTTCTGTTTGAAAAGATGCTCTGGGACAGAGATACCATTTTAACATCTTTCAGATTATACCACTCACTGCCTCTGTATTTCATTTTCTTATAAGACTGTATGCCTTCTAGTGTTAGCAGATTTGCCTAATGATTTCAATACTTTGGCTTCACTGAACCCTGTTGATGTGCTAAACAGGCCACTCTAGCTGAGGGCTGAAGGAACCACCACCACAGCATAACAAGGGACTTAAGGGACTTTGCTATAATACAACTTGTGAGGATATCTTTTTTGTAGTTATCTGGCTCTCTCATCTACTTCCTGGATCCCTGGTGTTTTAGGTTTGCCAATGCTGGTTCATCCATAAAGCACACTGTCAGAACAGATGTCATCAGCAAGGCAGAAGAGAGAGGAGTGGGGAGAGGAGGGTAGAATAAGGAAGGTGGGGTTAGGGAGAAGGAAAGATATCAGAAGATCTAGGAAGAAGCTTTAAAACTGAGCATGTGTACATTTTGGTCATTTAGTCTTTTTAAATTAATTAATTAATTATAGAGAGAAAGCACAAGTGGGAGGAGGGACAGAGGGATAGGGAGAGAAGCAGACTCCCCACTGAGCATGGAGCCTGATGTGGGGGTTGGTCTCATGACACTGAGATCATGACCTGAGCCAAAATCAAGAGTTGGCCATTTATCTGAATGAGCTATTCAGGTGCCCCTACATTTTGGTCATTTAAAGATAAAATTTAATTTTATGTGTTTATAGAAGCAATGTCCACAATAGCCAAACTATGGAAAGAGCCCAGATGTCCATTAACAGGTGAATGGGTAAAGAAGATGTGAGACATATATATCTCACATGGAATACTACTCAGCCATCAAACAGAATGAAATCTTGCCATTTGCAGCAAAGTGGATGGAGCTAGAGGGTATTATACTAAGTGAAATAAGACAGTCAGAGAAAGACAAATAACATGATTTCACTCATATGTGGTATTTAGGAAACAAAACAGATGAACATAAGGGAAAGGAAGGAAAAATAAAATAATATGAAAACAGAGGGAGGCAAGCCATAAAAGACTCTTAAATATAGGAAACAAACTGAGGGTTGCTGGAGAGGAGGTGGATGGGGGATGGGGTAACTGGGTGATGAGCATTAAGGAAGGCACTTGATGGAATGAGCACTGGGTGTTATATGCAACTGAGAATCTCTAAATTCTACCTCTGAAACTAATGATACACTATATGTTAATTAAGTTGAACTTAAATAAAACAATTTTATGGTTTAGCATACTAAATATCACATGGAGGAGACTACTTTTTAGTGCTTAGGCTTACCTG